ATCACAGCACATGCCTTAAATCTTAGAACTTGGGAGGCAGAAACAGGCAGATCTCTGTGAATTCAAGGCCAGCCTGGTCTACAGAGCAGGATCCAAAGGAGCCAGGACTATGCAGTGAGACCATGCCTCAAAAAGAAAAAAAAGTGTAGATTAAGCTAGGAAAGGGACACGGTAGGATGGTTCTGGTAGGAGTGGAATGGGAGAGAGTAGAAGTGAAATTAAATAAAACACTGTATGTTTGCGTGAAATTTTCAAAGAATTTTTTTTTGTTTGTTTTACATTTTAAAGTACCTTGAGCGGGCTCACAGAGGATTAGGATATTTAGGGTTCTGTAAACCTCCGACTTGACTTTCCTGTTGGCATAAGAAAATGTAGTACTGTAACTTTTTGTTAGCTAAGTGTAAATTATAATTGTTCCCAGAGCTGTATTCTATTTTTACTAAGGTAATTTTGTTGGTTTATATAGTTCATGAATTATTAAAGACATTTCAATTAATAAAGAAAAAGTTTCATAATTCATTCATATGACCAAGCAAAGACAATGATTCTCCTTAGATTTTTTTTTTTAAAGACATGATTTAATTTTTTTTTTTTTTTTTTTTTTTTTTTTTTTTTTTTTTTTTTTTTTTTGGCTTTTTAAGACAGAGTTTCTCTATGTAGCCTTGGCTGTACTGGAACTCTGCTCTGTAGAACAGGTTGGCCTTGAACTCAGAGATCACGCAGCTCTCATGGACTGTTTTTTAACTGCATAAATTATTTACCTAAAATCAGTTCAGTTGCCGTCTAGGTCCCCAGCAATAGGAATGCCAATAAAATACACGTCATTGCCCTAATAGAAATCTCAGAAATCATATGAAACTACAAAAGGAAAACTCATACAATAGAAACATACTTAATAATATCATTGTTTATGGGGAAACTGAGTAAGAAGTATCCACCATGGAGAAAATCAGAGAACAATTCAAGATGGAAGAACAGCTAACAGGGTCAAATACCACAGAAAAAGAGAGGATAAGAAAATAATAATATTAAAAAAGAAAAATGCAAGAGAGAATTAAAAACAGGTTGTACAATAAGAAACATGTGTAAACTAAATAAATGTAAGGAAAATGAAAACATAGCATTTTAAAAATAAGTTAACAGATGGGCCTGGTCACAAAATTTTATAAAAAGACAAAAATCTGAGAAAGGTATTTCTAAGGGTTAGGTAAGAGAGGAGGAGGGAGGGAGATAAGAAAAGGTGGAGGAGCATGGTGGTGCTGGGGCTGTGCTGTGGTGGCAGCGGACACCTTTAATCCCTGTGCTCAAAAGGCGGCAGCAGGCGAATCTGTGAGTTCAACAGCAGTCTGATCTACAGAGCAAGTTCCACAACAGCCAGGGCTACACAGGGAAACCCTGTCTGAAAAAAAGAAAAAGATAGGAAGGAAGGAAGGAAGGAAGGAAGGAAGGAAGGAAGGAAGGAAGG